TCTCATGAGCTGTTGGTATGTCTAAAGGCAGCCACTGTAAAAACATCAGTGGAGCATCTGACAGAGAGAGATGTTCAACATAATATGAGACATGTACTAGAGGAACAGCAGACAAAATGAAGCTCTGGACCTGAAATGGGACTCTGAATGGGGCTCAAGAAGTGATTTACACGTGATGCCAAATTTCCCAAACTTGCAGCCTTTACACTTCGTTCTCTCAACACAGCCAAGTTTTCCCCTGCTTCTCTTCTTTCTCTACACATATGTAAAGTCTAGTTAACTCTAGCTAAATTTTCACTTACTTGGCTATTTGCTAGTCATATATGGGTTTTCTAAAGCTATTTTTCAATGCTAAAACAACTCAATAAAATATTTGCAATTTAGGTCCACTGTATTCACTCAGAAGTACTTAAGAATGTCTTAATTACTGACAATAATTTAGGGAGATAGAGGAAAAAGAAGAAAAGACCATAATGATTCATGGAGGCTTGGAATCCTTTTGGGATAGTACTATTAAATGAGAAAATTGTGAGGAGAAAGACCAAATCCTTGATTGTCTAATTAAAGCAAGGTTTATTTAATACTAGCCGGGAAGATGGACACTGGCCAGGTCCACACCTGGAACTTGCCAGAAAACGGCTGCTGAATTAGGTTAGTAGGGTGCTCATAAAGGCAAAACCCACTGTGGTACGCCCCACCTTAGTGGAATTGGAGGCAAGCACACATCCTGGCATCCCTTCTGTCTCTGTACCTCCCACCTACTTGTGATGAAGCATATCCTGTGCAGGTGGGGCCACCCCACCAAAACGTCACAGAAGTGAAAATGAGTCAATTGTTACATGAACAACAACCCCCAGCATTCCGGGAAGTTATCAGTCCTTGGGTGAGTGAGGCTTATAGGTTTTAACTTTAACCCTTACAGTACCAAGGCAAAGGACAGAAGCTTTCCAACCAGTTTCCCCACTGCCTCTTCCTACCTCTGTCTTCCCACTTCTGATGGTCCTGATCCTGATTTGACCAAAGAATCACAGCATGGTTCTAATTAGATTCCACATCAGTGTTAACACAGCCAGAACAGGGACAGTCCATAGTATCAACAGACAGAAGGAACCACAAATTTATTGCATTTTGTGAATGTGCTGCTCTTGGTAGATACATGTTAAGCAAACAAACATGAATACCAAATGGATAAAACCAAACCTACTGCGCCCAATTAAAGATTTGTTAGTGCAATATTTGAATATGTTCCAAAAACCTCAATTTCTTTCTAAAAATAAAACAAACAAACAAAAAAACCTCAAAGATTTCCTTTGGCTGTTTTGTTGGTTTGGCTTGGGGCTTTTTGTTTGGTTTTGTTTTCTAAATTTAGTTGTGCTGAGTTTGCTCAGTTAAAAGTAAAGAATTTAGGACTTATATCCCTGAAGATTAAGAAAGGGCAACCTAAAATGTAGGTGCATTATGCCACAAATTGCTGAAATCATGCGTTCCCCTTGGGCTTTGTCGGGTAGGAAAGACTTGAAATACACACTGATCTGGGTAAATAGCCACAGCTCATCTGCTCTTGTCAGAGCAGTTAGGATGCTTCTCCCACTTTCAGAAGTTTACCTTGACAAAAGAAGGCTTTTAGAGAAAAAACCTAATGTTGTTAGCAATAAAATTTTAAAAATGCTTTAACCCGGAAAGTCTTAAAACCATCTATTACATACAGCATCTTATGTGTCATTCCTGCTCAGTAAAAATATCCCTTGTTACCAGAATAAAATTGTAAAACTATTAACACCATTGCTAGGCTGTTCTGTGAGCCACTGTAGAACTAGTGTGTGACACTGTAGAATGAGCCCATGACAGTTAAGGCCTGTGATTGGATAAAACCAAAGGGATTAAGACTGGGCTGGTTTAACCCCCCCAGAAACAGCTGACCTGACAAAGGTTAACTCTTGAATCCCAGGCATCAGCCTGGGAATCCAGCATGGGACTGATCAAGACCTCCTGAATGTAGGTGTCAGTGAGGAGCCCTAGGTAATCTATTGAGCCTTGGGCAGCAGATCAGTACCCATCCCGAATATACACACGGACTTTAGACTCCCATCCAACAATGTGAGGTGCACTCTCACCCTGAACTCTTGGGGAAGGGTCTAGGCCCTGCCCTATATGAAATGACAGACTATGGACACCCCCATGGAGGGCCTCACCCTCCCTGGGGAAATGAGGGGATAATGGGGGGTTTGGGGGGAGGGCACGGGAGGAGGGGAGGGAAAGGGAGAGGGCCCTGGAACTGACTTGTGAAGCAACCTTGTTTCTTATCTAAATTTAAACTGAAAAATAAAAAAAAATTAAAATTAAAAAAAAAACAACAGCAACAACAACAACATAGCTTAGCATTATTTAACTAAGCATTTGGCCCTTCCTTTTTTCTGAGGCACACAGATTTGAGAAGGCTAAATAAGGCTAAACCCATTCTTTGAGGGTTATGAAAAGTAAGCATAATGGGGTATGTACTTGGTGTTTTTTTTCCAATTTGAAAGTGTTTGAATCACATGATAACATGATATGAGCCACACCAGGGAAGGTCTTCTTGTGAAGGCAAGAGCTAATTTCCATCCATTTTTGTGTTCTCAGCACGGACTTTTTTATTATTATTATTTTTATCTTTTGGCTTGTTTTTTTTTCAAGACAGGGTTTTGTTTTTTGTTTTGTTTTTTCTGTGTGGCCCTGGCCAATCTGGAACTCTCTCTGTAGACTAGGCTGGCCTTGAACTCAGAGATTCTACTGTGTCTGCCTCTGAAGCACTGGGATTAAAGCATGCACTACCACCACCAGGCTTATTTTGACTTTTTATTAACACAGAGTAATTGCACACATTTATAGGATGCAGCGGAATGTTTCAATGCATGTGTGCAATGCCTGCTGATGAGATCAGAAATGAGGCTCTCTCTTCCTGTCATTTAAGCTTTGAGACTTAAGCTCCTCCCTCCCAGTACTCCATACAGTGTTTAGGAGATTCGAAGGATCCTGAAAAGCCTACTATAGTGAGACACTCTGTTTTAGCTAGGGTTTCTATTGTTGTGAAGAGATACCATGATCTCAGCAACTCTTAGAAAGGAAAAACATTTAACTGAGGTGGCAGCTTACAGTTCAGAAGTTCAGCCCATTGTCTTCATTGCAGGGAGCATGGTGGCCAGCTGGCAGATATGGTACTGGCTACATCTTGATAAGAAGGCCACAGGAAATGAACTGTAACACTAGGCAGTATCTTGAGCATAGAACTCAAAGTCTGTACCCACAGTGACACACTTCCTCCAACAAGGTCATACCTATTTCAACAAAGCCATACCTTCTTCTTTTTTTAATCTTATTTATTTATTTATTTATTTATTTATATTACATACTAACCACAGTTCCCCTCCCTCCTCTCTTGCAGTTCCCTCTCCCCATCCCCATACCACTCCTCCTCAGTCTCCATTCTGAAGGGATAAGGCCTCCAAAGGGTGTCAACAAAGAATGGCCTATCAAGATGAGGCAGGACCAAGTTCCTTCCCCTTGCATCAAGGCTGGGCAAGGCATCCCACCATAGGAACTAGGTTCCAAAGAGCCAGCTCATGTAACAGGGACATGTCCTGGTCCCACTGCTAGGAGCTCTATAAACAGACCAAGCTACACAACTGTCACCCAGATGCAGAGGGCCTACATCAGTCCCATGCCAGCTCCCTAGCTGCTGGTCTAGAGTCTGTGAGCTCCCACAAGCTCAGGTCACCTGTCTCTGTGGGTTTCCCCATCATGATCTTGATGCCCTTGGCTCAAATAATCCCTCCTCCCTCTCTTCAACTGACTCCCAGTGCTTAAAGCCACACCTTCTAATAGTGTCATTCCCCTTGAGGACCATTTTCTTTCAAACCACCATGCACTCTACAATTTGGTATACCTCTCCAATGATGTACCTCTCTAACCACAGTTTGGTATTTACCCTGGTTAGAATGGCTACAATTTAAAGATCACAAAACAGCAGATGCTGAAGAGTCTGTGGAGAAATGGACCACTTCTACACTTCTGATGAGAATGGTATTGGGAATGGTTCACAAAAAGTTAAAACTAAATTTCCCATATTATCCTTCTATCCTGCCTAGATATATGTGCAAAGAAGTTGAAATCATCATGCCAATGAGCTATCAATGATCTCATGCTTATTGCTATATTTTTCACAATAACCAAGTCAACACAGGTGCCCATCAGCAGATGAGTGAACAAAGAAAATGTGCTGTATATGCACAGCTGAATTCTGCTCTGCCAAAAATAATGAAATATTGTCACTTACGAAAAAATAATCAACCAAACACAAAAAAGATGAGTTGGGTTCTTAGTAGCATAATACTTTATTTGATGTTGAATGAATGTAGATTGTGGGAATGAATGAAAACTAAATAGAGTATGTATTATTTGTTCCTACTACAGAAACATTTTGCTCTTTAAGAATTTGATATGAGTTGACCGTAGTGGCACATACCTTTAACCCAGCACTCAGGTGTCAGGCAGATGGATCTCTGAGTGTTCTGGCTAGCCTGACCTACATAGAGAGTTCTAGGAAAGCATAGAATTGCATAGTGAGACCTTGCCTCAAAAAACAAACAAAAACAAAAACAAAAGAGGGAGGGAGGGAGGGAGGGAGGGAGGGAAGGAAGGAGGGAAGGAGGGAAGGAGGGAAGGAGGGAAGGAGAGAGGGAGGGAGAGATGAGGGAGAGTTTGATCTGAAACGAAATAATGGATTTTAAATTTCACAACACATTTTTCTAATGAAACGAGATCCATCTCAAGGGGGTGAAAGGAAGGAAACAATCAGCTCTTGGAAATTATCCACTATGACCCTCATTTTTGGGGAGGACCAAGCTCAGGGAGGTCTATGTCAAGCCACAGCATGAGGTTGTACCCCAAAATCCTGGTGTTAAGCCTCCCCAGACTCATGTTTCTGGAAGACACACAAGAAGAAGCCTTGGGATAAGACTTACCTTTTCAAGTTTTAGTGAAGTCCTTTAAGGATTGCGTCAGGATTGTTAGACCCATGTCATACTCCAACTGTGTAGGCCAGTCTCTCCTCACCAAGCAATACCACTTCACAGGATCTCTTTTCCACAGAGCCCAGCCTTTCTTCTCTCCAAGTCAACGTGAAACTGTTTCTCAAAAGCAGTGTTTGCTCCACCCAGGCTGATAACTAAGATAAACTTAAGAGTCCTTTCCTTATTCTGGTAGCCTACATTGGTCTTACCTTTCGAGCCACACCCTTTACCTGGTTGTCCCTCATTGTAAAGGTCTGTATCAGCATTCAGTGTGTTGAAGGACAAATCATAACTCTTCCTGCTTGTCACTATTCCTTACAGTGCACTGATACCATCATCAACAAGTCATCTGGTCTAAATGTGAATAGATTCTTTTCTATTCTGCAAAGTCTTCTTTAGGCAAAGTCAGGAGTAGCTGGCAGGTGTGGGTGGAAAATCTTTTAAAGAATGTGAACACAGATGAGAAAACCATACTCCTTTTTATGGTGACATAGAAACAGAGAAACGATCCTAAGAACTTCCAAATCTCAACACTTACAGAAAAGAACATTCCATAGCCTTCACTTAGTAATGTCTTGAATCTGTTTTCTCTATTAAATAGTCTACATTTGCTGCAGTTATCTGGCTATATCCAATGTCTCTGCTATTGCCAAAACCTGTGCTTGGAATTTTCCTTTTGCTGAAGGTTTGGTGGACTCAGCCACCATCTTTGATCTTTTCTTGGTCTTAGGCTCAATTGCATCCACTACATTAAAAGATAAACTTCTGTGTTCTTTTCACTTAAAATGTTGACAAGAGAATTTTTTACAAAAAATTTGAGAGGATGACAGCACATGCAACCAGGAGGAATTACAGAGCTTATAAATGGAGCAAGCACTTTATGCCTATGACTCACCTCTGACACACTCCTGAGGACTTTCATCTTCCCTGACTCATCACATTGTAGTGTTGTCCCGCCTCCCAACTGCTGAAGGTATCAATTCTGTGGGTAGCCCTAAGCAAAGGTCTTAACCTTTCTCAGCCTTCATTTCCTCCCCTGTGAGCTGACCATATTACAGTCCTTGATTGCACATGTTTGCTATGAAAAATTAAAATGTATAAGCAATTACAGTAGTGCTTGCTAATTACTAATAAATGTTAGCAATTATTATTAATTGCTGTTGAAATCATCATCTCTCTTTTCATCCAAAAGAAAATCCTGTACCCTCATGTCATGTGGGTGCCTCAAAGCATCCCAGGTTTTATGGTACCGACTATACTGGGTCTCTTCACTAGTCAGAGTGACCTTGTATTTTCCTATATTGCTCATATTTTTCCATTAAAGAAATTAGGTAGTAAATTATTGCCCATCCTGTTCTGTGTAAGAGTTTATGACCACCTGAAAGCCAGGAAAGTAACTCTGGGCTTTCCCCACGTAGTGATATTCCTGATGGCTGTCAGTGAAACAATCTCTGGCTTTGGCTGTGATAGCTTCTGTCACAGTGTCCTTCCTTTCTAAGGAGACCATCTACATGCTTTCTGTAACTGGTGTGGAGAGTTTTGCACAGAGAAGTGAAAATTCTCCAAGTTTCAGTATTTACTTTTCTGGTTGAAAGGAGGAGTCAAAGCAGTTGTGATTTGCTCCACATCTCCATCAAAGTCAAACTGATTCCATTTCAGAAAAGCTGAGTCAGTGCAGCCTGTCCAGTTCCATATCACCTTGCTGGGGGAAGGAAATTTCACATTTGCTTTTAAGAGACAGGAAACAAACACAAAGCAGCCTGTCTTTCTGAAAACCATGAATCTGTTCATCCAGCAAATACTGAAACTGTCTTCTCTGCTCTAGGCAATGTTTCAGGCTCTGAGATTACAACAATAACACAATGGCATGATGCTTATCCTTATGACAAAGCTGCTCAATAACCGGTCCACCCTGCTTCCAGGTTCCATTCATATAGCAAATATAAAATAAATTTCAGACCCAGAATATTCTGCATAACACATTTCTGTTCCCCTTTTCTTCCCTGTCTCCTTTGACTTCCTTCCTCCCTTCCTCCCTCTTTCCCTTCCCCCTCCCTCCCTCCCTCCCTCCTCTCCCTTCCCCTTCCCTCCCTCCCTTCCATCCATCTATCTTCTCTTGATCTTTCTTCACTACCACTGTCCATTTCTCTGCACTTTTTTTTCTGACACAACACTTGTATGCTTTTGTTTCACTGGTTATAAATGAAATAGCCCTTCTTAGCTACAGTATGAATACCAGGGCTGGCAAGTTCTGTGAAGATGGGGTTTAGGTGGCAAGAGATGACACTGTTCTTACTGGTTTTCAATCAGTGTCGCAGTGTCACTATGAAGTGTATAAGATACCTTTCATCTTCCTTCTTCCTTTCAAGGAGGGTAAAATTCAGGGATTTTTTTTTGTTAGTCACTAACACCAGGAGACACAAAATGGGTGTTGATGAATCCTTGGATATTAAAGAGAGTGAAGACTGATCTGTCGAGGCCCTGCTCATGCAACATGTCCTATAAGATTTAAAAGAAACACACCCCAAACCTCCCCTCAGCCAGACACAAGAAAGGAACGCACTCTCTAGACAGTGCCTCCACAAATGAATACCACCCCCTGCTGCTGCAAAGGTGTACAATTCCTGCAGACATGCACACAAGTGCCCATACCCTACCATACTCCCAAAACTGTCTCCTCCAGTTGAAATCGCTGCTTGCTGAGTCTCAAATGGTCTCCATGTAACTGTTTTCAGTTTTTCACTGCTTCTGTGGGGAATAATTTAAAGCTTGCTACTCCATCTGAAAAAGAATGCCCTTACACACACACACACACACACTTATATTCCTCTTGGAACTGAACATGCTTGTTTTGTTTTCATAAAGGGTCTCATCTACGCATCCTAGGCTAGACTCATACTATACTCAAGAATTGCTGTGTCCCAACTTTCTGAGTGCTGAGACATAGGCATCCACCACCAAAAGGAATTCTGAATATATTTTTGTTTGATCTATTCACTTAATCAGGTTTTCAAAATAAAAGTTCCCATATATTTATTGCTAGATCAGCATAATAGTGCAAAAGCATCAGAAAGACATTGTTTTCTCATAAAGAATATGCATTGCCAACCATCTGAGCTCAGTCAGACAACACTCAGGTGATCTTGGTGCAGTATAAATATGCACCATCACAAGTGCCAGATTGTTGGGGCCCATAAAGATGGGTCCGCTTCATCTTGCCTCAAAGTCAGAGAGTTCAAAACTGTCCTTAGTAAGTCAAAAGATCTAAAGGTCTAATGCTTGGCTACTGCAGGATTTTTCCACCTTGGTAGCAGATGTCTTATCTAAATAGCAACTGACTTGGGCTCAGGTGTGTTTACTCTTGACCCTGAAGGCCGGATAACAGGTGTGGCTACCAATTACCTGGAGGATTAAGGGAAGTTAAGTCTGTTTGCTCGTTATACATGATAACAGACGTCTTCTACCAAGTCCCCCTTTTTGGTTGGGTACTTAAGAATGTTGAAAGATAAACTAGGGCATTCAGTATTAACTGGATTGCCCTCCTGACTCTATCCTGTGTCTCTGTCTTTGTCTTACTGGCTTTACCTCCCCTTTCTCAACCCACACTCCCCCTCTCAGGTACCAACCAGGCAAGTTGGCTAACACTGACTGCAGCCAGGCAAAGATAGCTTCCCACACCAGATCCTCTTAGACACAGCACCATTGTCTCCTTGTGGTGGTCATGAGCGTGACTTTATTAGTAGTTTTAATTTGAACTCTCTAGAGTGTAGAATAATTCTGATTTTGTTTCTTGACCTAAAGCCAAATGATCACAAAGGTTTCATAAGAAGACATATAAGTAATGGACTCAACCACATAATGACATTGGCAGAGGAGGGGAAAGACTGGGCACGTCTCCCCTCAGAGCTTTTGAGTGAGAACAAAATATAGACACATAACCTTGCCAGGAGTGTGTGCTCCTTCAACAAAGCAAAGAAACACATTGTGTGGTCAATAAGCAAATTGTGTAGCTAGATTATCTGGGACGTGGGGGTGAAATGTGATCTGAATCCGGGCTGTATCCTTAACTTAAGTAAATCTTCTACCCAGGCTTCAAGTACTTAGGGGAGGGGGGAGGCAAAATGTTTTATCTTAATGACTGGCACCAGGATTCTTAGAAAAGAAACAGTATCTGTTTAGGAAATGCTTTCATAAACATCTCAGATGGGTGGGACTGAAGATCTGTAGCCAACCAGAAACAAAAGCAAATTTAGATGCCTGGGGGTGGGGAGCGGGCTAAGGGAGAGGAGGGAGAGGGGTTATGACAGGGGAGGGGGGGAAGGAGATGTGGGGCAAGGAAAAGAAAGAGAATCTAGCTGCACAGCAACAGCATGAGTGATTAAAACGAGAGTAAGAGATGCGTGAGGGCTAATGGTTTCTCCACGCTGGGCTTCGTTCAAGATGTTCACCCTCCCTGTCACGTCACCCTCATGACCATTCAATGTCATTAGACAAACTAGAGCGTGCTGTGCCGAAACAGCCAGAGCACTTCCAACGTCAGAAATATCCAATGTTTCATTTTGATGTTGACTTCCCTGTGATAGAAACCTCTCCATTTTCCTGAACTATCTGTCATGTTTTCCACATGCAAACAAATGTCTTTGTGAGTGATTTGTGTGTGCTTAGAAAAATGAAAGAAAAGCACAGGAAAATGAGAAGGTTGAAGCAGCACAAAGTACATAAATTCTTGGGGTGCTGAAAATGTCCCTTAAATAGTTTGGCAGTGGTGAGACTGAACCCTCAGGGGATGAGACATCGGCAACATGGGAAGTTACACTAATCTGCTGGTGTGGTAGCGGCTGGAACCTGCAGCCTCATGCTTGCTAGGCAAGTTGTAGGTCAGAGTTCTCCCACAGGGCTGCATCTCATCTCCACCTAATGTTTGACTCTTCAGCGAGCATGGAAAACCTAGTCCAGTCAACATTTTAAATTGTGCCTCAAATAACTGTCTATTTCAACATCCTATTAAGAAGAGCTAAAAATCTCTTTTCAAACGAAGTGCAGGCTCTTCCCCCACTTCTACAGGAG